TATTTATCGGAATAAGCAACAATTTCGTCATTTGCACAAGCAGCCACATTGATCACCATAATTCCCTTCTTTGTTGTAGGCACTAATCTACAACAATCTCTCCTTGGAGCCTAGAAAACATTGACAGTTGTAAACAATAAAAATCTATATGTTCCTACATATGTAGTAAAAGTAATATTTTTGTACCTTGTTCCACCTATCCGGGTTGGGTTTTTTGTAGACGAAGATCCGATTGATATCAGAAGGATCAGCTATTCCCCAGTCACATTTAGGATTCCACTCGTTGTGCCTCAAATACTCGGTAACCGTCATGTCCGGATTAGAAGAATCATTGAGCACACGAGACATGAAAAACACTCGCGGACGCTGGCAATCAGTGTAGGTTATAGGACGTGTGTTGAAAGCAAGATTAGTGAAATCGCGTCGTTTGTGCCAATCGTTGAATGTTCGAGTGGGAACTATCATCATTCTCGCAGGCATATACGTACGTGTGATATGTACCGTGTATCCCCACGAGACCGACATTGTCCATTGTCGGTTTTTGTCGTAGCAAATCGACTGTTGGACGAGGCTAGCTGAATCGAGTTTCGCTGGGATCATAAGCCTCTTTATGGCCTTGACTCTGTCTGTTTTGGGGAATATAGGCTCTACCACGTCTAGGTGATGGATTGAGACTATTGGCACTTGTGGATGCACCGATAATAGACCCAAGAGGTTCCCATATACATCAAACTATACCAAAACAATGATATTAATCCCTAATTACCGATATAAATCTTGGCGTAAAACGATCTCAACAATCTTGTTTTCAGAACATCGATCTTAAATCATTGGTTCGCTAAGAGTGGAAAATGAATCAAATCACGCAATATAAGTTTTACTTTCTCACATTTTCTATTTTAAAACCCCAAAACACTAAAATGATACTAACCTGATGAAATCCGACTTCGCGAGTGAGAGGAACACCGAGCTCAGCCATACAAGCATGAATCCGATCATCGGACCCGTACAGATCGGAGTATCTCTCGATACACCGATCTTGCATTTTCTCCAAGACCTTCGCCAATGGATAGCTTATCGCAAACCCACCTCCTCCGTATGCCATTCCGTACGAGAACTGATGGAGATTCTGCAAATGGCTCTCCGACGGAGCTCCGATGTAATAGAACTGTTTATGATCGTATTTTCTCAAAACCCTGACTAGATTCTCCGGGAAGAACACAGTGTCGTCGTCACCCATCACAACCCACCTCACGTTTTTCTCAGATTCAGTTCCGTTTAACATCCTCACCGTCTCCGATACGATCCTCGTGATCCTGATCGCTGATCTGTGACCGTTCCGGTAACGGTACTTGAAAATGGACGTGTCGGATGAGATTCTGATCTGAGGCAAGGCAGAGGAAGGTGAAGAAACGGTGTCGTTTACGTGCTTGTCGAGCCAAACGGCACCGTTCATTTCACCGTTTGGTTTCCACCATGTTTTGACGTATTCTCTACGATGCTTCCATAGATCGGAAGAAGCGGCGATTCCGAATACGATGTGCTTAAGCTCTGTTTTTTCCTCTGGTTTTGGACCCGACCCGAGTCGGATTACGGGTACGAGGAAAGAATTGGGGATTCTAGAAGGTGAATACGGGTTTAAAAAGGATATGAAACTGAACGAGTATAAGAAATATGAGAGGAAGATCAAGAGGACGATGATCGCTGTAAACGAGCATGGTGACGAAGAAGAAGAAAAGGGTTTATTAGATTTGTCGTACGAAAGTGGTTTTTGGTCTTTGTGATTGGTTTCTCCCATGGCTATTGGTTGATAGCAAATCAGGGTTTTTTGTTGTTGATGGTTACAGTCGGAGAAGACGACGGCGAAAGTACGAAAGCTATACCGTCTCTGTTGCACAATGCAGTGTTGGTGAGATTGAAGAAATGAAACGAAATTTTTAATATTTTATCATCCTATGAAAAAGGTGGATTTTGTCTCGATGTAGCAGTGGTCATTGTTATTTTAGGAAAAGTAGTATTAGAATCTAAAAAGTTCATTAGACAAATTAAAAAATAAAAATAAATAACGACACAAATTTGATTTCTTACGTAATGGTATGTGAATCTCAACGTAATTATAGCACAATAACACTGGTCAACATACCAAATAAAATCAAATTTATAATGAATTATACAAAATGTTGAATACTATTTTGGGTAAAAATATCATCATAACAACAAAAACTCCATATATATATATAAATATTTGCAGCTATGTATAGTGCAAAATATTCATTATAAATTTTGTCCATATATTATTGAAATGGTACAATTTAGTTATAATAATCTTTGCAAACTGTGATTATATACCAATTAAGTTATGATACTAATGTTTTAATTGGTTTTAATTTTGTTGGTTGGTGGAATAAAAAACATCGCGACGTTTACATGTTCCATCGTAGACACGCTTGACGGTTTAATCGCAAAATAAACGTCACGTAGTCCTAAGCGGGAACAACAAAACTGCTTGACCTTTTTTCCACATGGCATTATAGCCGTCAGATGAGAAACAGCCAAATCGAACGGGTTAAAAAACACAACTCATACCGAATGAAGAAATTGTGTACTCTCTCTGACACGAAGTATTCGCCGCAT